TGCCTGACACGATAGGGCAGCCAGTAAAATTATGCAGTTTCACAATATAACGGTTTTATTAAAAAAAATTGTAAATTTTGTTTTAATAGATATTGAATAGATTAAACATCCCCCATTGTTTTGAGCTTTCCTGTTTTTAAAAATCAGAGAATAATATTTTTCAATTTTCTTGATGGTTAGCTTTATATTTTTTTTTGCGTTTCCTTGCTTAGCCAATAAAAAAAATTGTAACTATATCAAATAATTATTGATACATTTTGAAAATCAATGTGATCATTTTAACCCTATAAAGGCTTGGGGGTCTAAATCTATGTATAGCCTGGGGGGCGTTTGGTGCCCCCACCCCCTAGAAAAAGGCCTAAGAGAATAGGTATAGGTTGGAATGCATGTTCATAGCCCAATTTTTCATGGCCAGCTCAAAGAAAGAAATTTAACCGATAACTTTAATAGTTTTGGGTGATGGGAGGGTGGAAAAAAAGGAACATTCTGTTTTAACAAATATCAAAGTGTGACACATATTTCTACATGCATTTTTAAGGGCTTTTCAAAAATGTAGTTTTTAGATCTATAGCTTTAGTCACAAAAAAGTTATGGGCTATTTTAATTTTTTTTTTCACAGACAGGACTTTTTTCCATACCATACCTAAAAATTAAAAAAAAAATGTTAACACAAAATCCTTTAAATTACTATTTATAAAAAGTCACAACATTTCATAGTGATAGTGTCAAAAATGAGAGTGCTAGTACAAAAAAACTACAGGGGGGCACCAAAATCCCCCCCCCCGGCCTGTTTAGGGTTAAAGGAATCATAATTTACATATCTCTACACTTATATCAATAATCAAGATGTGTATGTAATCGTCGATCTGTTTTAGGTATTTTTTTAAGATTTGTTAGTTGGATTAATTAAAATTTTTCTGCCTCATTATACTCAGTTTAGCATCAATTTTTAAGATTTGAAAAAAATGTCGATTCAGCAAATTTTTCAAGTTTTTGCATCATGCATGAGTTTATAGAGAGAAAAGGGGGGGGGGTTGTCAAAATTTATAAATAATTCATTAGAAAGTAATAAGGACATACATCTTAGCGCGTTTTCGGTTGTATTACAATTCTATTTTAAATATGCAATATTTTTAAATGTTGCGTGAAAGAATTCTGTTTTGCCTTGTTAAGACTCTCTACTGCACTACTGCCTATTTTCCTCAGGTTTCTGCCTGTTTTCCACCTGTCAACAATCCATCTTAATATGCTCTGCTTTATACTTCTGTGTTTTTATACTCTTAACTTGATATATCTTATATTTATAATTTGCTTACATCGGAGTGATAAATAAAGAAAAATTGTATGACAAAAAAAATGTTTCAATTGGCTACATATTTGTTAGAATACGTAAGTTAGCAACATCAAAAATTAGATTATGTAAATCCCAAACTAGATTTTAAAACTTGATTTTAATACTTTAATACTGTTTAAAGCGTGTACTTTCGGCCTTAAACGAGAATTCTAATCACGTATTTGGCACCTGTTTAACGATACGAGATACCTTTTTCTTAGTTAGCTTTTAACCACATCTAACATGACACCAAATTTGCAAATTATGTTTTTGCGAACTTAAACACTTGTCCTGCGAGTAAAATATGTATTTGCAATTTACGTCATACGCTTGAAAATGATTCGGTAACTATCTTTACATGCTTAAAGAAAAAATTTTGGAAAAAATTAATAACCTTTTTTTAATACCCCCACCCCCTTTTTTTAAATAACTTTCGACAGTTTAATCTTTTATCTAGAACTTCTTATTCTTCTTTTAGTTCTCTATACTACATCTTTTGGTTTAAAAAGTTTATATTTAAAAATCTAATAATTTTCCTCTTTTTTATAGTATTTTAACC